AATAATAATAACAACATAATTATAGCAGAATATATCAGAGTTCATAATTTTAAATATAATTATAGCAGAGATTATATTATACATTCATATAGAACTATAGTAGTGTATATATAAAGTTACTATATCCACAACATATAAAAATAGAGGTAAGTATTAATAAGCAATTRTTGTCCTATTAAACAATATTATCATTCAATTGCACTATTTAMTATTATTATTAGCCAATTAACATTAAGTATTTTGTATAGGTTTAAATGTATATAAAATATATATATAAATATATAAAAGTAAAACTAAACAAATAAAATATTTTTAAAGGATCAAAAACAGATATTTGAGGWTTTTTTAATGTTGCAAAACAACAAAAAAAAGCCCGGTTTTGCCCTGAAACAGGCTAAAAAGAGTGAGTTTCTTCTCCTAATTAAAAAAATTCTAAAAAAAAAGAAGCTTTGAAACTGTTAAGGGAAAAAAACCATAAAATGTGATAAAAATTTATTAAAACTTGATAACAGTTCATTATAAGGATTGTTTTTAATTAAAAAAAAAGCCAGGGAATTGGGTGTTTTGTGTAAAAAAGATAATTCTGGTGGTTTTTTCTGAAAAAAAAAATTGAATTTGAGGTTTTTGGGAGAAAATAGGGAATAAAGAGGTTTGACTGAGTAAAAAAAGGGAATAAAGCAGGGATTCTGAAATAATATATTAAAAAAAAAACCTTTTTTTTTAAAAGTGGGATTTTGAAGGAAAATCAACAGGCAAATAAGCAGTTGGGATTTTAAAAATTAACACTGAGCAAATGGGTTTTTTTTTCTTTAAAAATATCCCAAACCTAAAACAGAGTTCAAGAGGGCCTTTTTTCATTAAAAAAAAAATATTAAAAAAAAGAAAAGGAATGTCCTGATTTTGCTCAGTGCGGTTTTTTGGTGGTGGGGGGATGGGACCAAGAAACCACAAATATGGCTCCTTTGAAAAAGTTCTAGAAGCTTTCTCCTTCTTCTCCAGCAAAAGGAGCCCTACCCCCCGTGTTTTAGGGCCAATCCATTGCGGCTCCGAGGTTGATGGACAGGCTGCTCATCAGGCCTGGGCCAATTGCACATTCTAGTTACACCTCCGTGATGACGAATGGTCTTGTACTTAAAAAGAATTCAATACAAGACAGAGTACGGCCTCCATTTAGTTTTTAGGTTGTTAGTATCATGCACTGGGGAAAAACAGAGGAGGAGGGTGAGGAGATGTAAGAAAAAATGGAGACCCAAGATCATAGTAAGAAGAAGATAGGTACTCTTGCTGTAGTTCTCAAACATGTAGAAAACAAGCTGTTCCCGAAAGGAATATTTCTTCAGTGGGAGACCTGTATAGGAAAGAAAGCGATCTTGCTCTGAGAAAACCCTGGCCTTGGAGGACTGGACTGATCAGGACCCAAAAAAGGGGAAGAGGCTTTCCCCGCCCCCCTCACATCTGAAGCGAGATGACGCTTAGAAGAAATTGTGTTCTGTGGGGGAAGAGGTGCCCCCCGCCCCACGTCTGAAGTAAGTGAATGCTTAGAAGAAGCTGTGTTCTGCCAGGAGATTTGTGATAGTGGCTTTACACCACCGAAACAACACAGTTTTGCCTTGGAGAACATTCTTTCCTTTCTCCTACGAGGTAAAGAAAATAATCCCTTGCCACCAGCAGTTATACACTCACTGCTTCTTGGGAAAAGACCTTCCACTGCTTGGAGCTGAAAGGACTCTTCTGTGGTGCTGGACGATAACCATAATGAGTAGTCTGATCTATGCTAAAACTTTCATCCCTGCCCCTCTTGCAAACAGGAAGGCATGGAGGGGTGGGGAGGGGAGAACTGGGAGRGAGACAGGTTCCCAGAAAGAATAACAGGTGTCTTAAAATGTCCAGTTTTTCCCTCTCCTTGTAAATTTTTCCCTATCTCTGTTCCCCTCCCCTGTGCAGTAATATTCTTAGTAGTTTTTAGTAATAAATGTATTTTGCAACTTAAGTTATTCAGCCTGTCTGACCATTTGCTGGAGCATATACATATCTTTCTCTCAATTATATTATGTTATCTAAAAGCCATAAATTTTAGTGTTAATTGGACTTTTGCTCTCCCTTCTGCCTCTCCAGTGGGAGCGGGGGGAGCATCATGGGTGCTTTTTTTGGCTTTCGGTCAAGTTCAAACCACGACAAGGAATAAGAAATAAAAAAATATTAAGGGAATAAGAGGGTTTTTCTTTAAAAAAACTACATAAAAATAGATCGATAAAGGKYTTTTCATGAAAATTAGAAAAGAAGTCAGGAAAATAAGGAATAGAAGGGACTTTTTTCCTTAAGAACCAACTGTTTTATTAAAATAGAACAAATGAAAGGATTTTTTCATAAATTGCTTCTAAGACCAGACTTTTTCTCCTGAAAAAAAATACAATTCAAGCCTATAGATCTTGGGGTTTTTTTCCTGGAAAAACACTAAAACCGGCCATTAGAATTTTACCTTAAAAAAAAAAAATACCCACAACCAAAAGTAAGCACAAATTACCAGGACAAAGTGCACTTTTTTTTCGATAGGCAGTGAGGAAAGAAGTTTTTTTCCAATGAAAATTAGTGGAGAGTTCATGGGAAAAAAAAAAAAAGAGAAGATTCTGAAGGATTTTGGATTAAAAAAAATATTTTGAAAGGAGGTTTTGGTTAAAAAATGATACATCAGCGGCTGAAAAGTTGTTGGAGAAAATTGAAGGGAATTCTCAGGGAAAAATAAATCCAGGAATTCAGTATTTGCTTTTCTGTACCACAAAGCCTGAAAATAAGTYYAAAATCCAGGAAATYTGGGGATTTTGTGTGGAAAACAGGAGGTTTGCTTACCACAGAACGGAAGGAGGAGCCACCAGGGCCTGCCCTGTGTCATCACTGTGAAAAACACCCAAATTTACTAAAAATTGCTATCATATGGGAAAAGTCCATGTGAGACCAGACATGTTTCTAAAACCTTCAAATAACCCCCAGATTACCCCCAAATGACTTTTATTACCTCCAAATTCCTTTTGTCACCCCATGGAAACTTTTTGGGGTTTATTTTGGGCCCTACTGCCCCCAAATCTACCACAAAACCTCCCAAACACTATGAA